ATTGTATCACAATTTGAACTATATAGAGCAATGATAAGTAAAAAAAGCCAAAAAAAACAAAACAAACTTCAATTGTCAGTTATTCGTCGTAATGCAATTTGACACATTCTGATATAAGAGCTCATGTTTCGATACAAATACACACAGATCGAACATACAGAAGTGAAATGTTTCTGATGGATTGATTGATTGGTAGATTGAACGTTTGTTATGTATTGAATGTCAAAGTAATGTCATGACATACACGAGAGCAAATAGCAACTGTACAATAATAGAAGAAAAAAAATGCAAAACTATGCATAATGATGTATAATGACGTATGATAGTGATTTTCTTTGTTTTGAAGAATAAAACTTATACTAATAAATACTAATTACATATGATTATAGCGTGTGAAAATTGTATGTCAGATGTATTCTTCAGCCATATTTACATGTTATTTGTTTATTTGCTTGTTTGTTTGTTTGATTTTTTCGTTTCAAACCCATCTGAATTTATTCTTAATGGAATTTCTAGCTAGAGATTAATAATACATTCAGACATATGAATTTAAAACAGACACGAATAAATTGCATAGTAATCAATAGTTTGTCCATTCCAGTCTATTGAATGTGTTCAATATTTCCTATTCAGATACTAAAATTTTATGAAATTGGATTAATAGTATTGTAGTAATATTAATGTTGAGGACAATCGTACAGGACCACAACAATTTGTTAATGCAATAAGAAAAAAAATCAGATCTATACATAATTGTGTTGATTTATTGCCAAACTGAAAAGAACGTTAGCCTGAAATAATTAACTAATTAAAACAGCGTCGGATGTTGGCTCAGTGGTCCAGAGGTTAAGAGCTCGTGTGCAAGACGGATAGGTCCTGGGTTCGAATCCTGCTGGGGGAGGGGCGAGATCGTGGATTCGCACTGCTGAGACGTTCCATACTAGAACGAAATGGCCATCCATTGCTTCCAGGTTTTCCATGGTGATCTAGCTTTAATTGACTCATGAATTCAACTGTTAAATTAAAATAATATCCACAAAACCCCTACCTGATTAAATAAGGTTGAATGAATTGAATTAGTTCGAAACTGTTAAAATATATATTGGTTAAATAATGGAGACTATTTTGTTCTTAATTCAGTAAAATATTCAAATGAAATACTAAGAATAGATGAACTAGCTAATTGTGACTGAACACATTAAATTACTTTTAAAATTATAAAATAGTGCTTAACTGAGCTATAAATTACCATCGTTTCAAGTGCATACTTATCTCAACTTTATGAAATACGGGTTCAAACATCTGAACTGTTTTATATTAGTACCAATAATAGCAGTCGTACTCAAAAGACTTGTTACTGATATGTCTTCAAATCATATATCAAACAGAACAACAGGCCTCACTAGCTAAGTCCATGGACTCTTATACTACCGATGTACACTATTTCCCTGAAACACATGTACAGTCTAATCATTTAGTTATATTTCATATATCTGCGGAAGCGACAGCAACTTATCGTGGTTTGACTGGTATACATATAGCACTAAGTTTGAAACTAGAACAGTTACTAATTAACTGGATTTCTGTCAGCATTTACTTATGTACTGTCTGTCTTATTGAGACAATAAGAAGTCGGAACATACTTCGTTGCCTTTCCGCCTTTTCAATCTAAACCCCATCCTCACTAACTGCAACCTGAATGAAGTAAAAGAAAAATTTTACAAAAAGCTTTTTGCCCTCCTTCACAAAGCCATTAACTCAGACCTTTTAGCCGTATTAAATGTTTCTAAAGCCCAAGTTATTGGGCCTAGTCAAACTCGAAAAATTTAAAATGGTCTTATAGCAATTTCTTATACCTAGCAAGGACAAACTTTAAGCATGATAAGAAACACTGCCTAACCTAATGACTTCTAAAATCAACACAATAATTGGCACAAATAGAATATATATTCATCAGGTATTGTTAGAAGACTACCACTCCTTCTGGAGCACATGCTTGGACTTCGATCATGTTTTAGTGAGAGTATGTATATGTTTTAGTGGATGTAAAAATGTCACGATGGGAGGACTTTGTAGAGCTCAGTTCAAAAATGAAAAGGTGAAAAATGAATTCAGGGAAGAACTAGTTGAAGGTTTAATCGAAAATGTTCGTCGAGAAGAAGGAGCTTGGAATGATATATGAATATTTATAAATCCAATGCCGATATTTGATACTAACTTAAATTAAAAAGTTAAGAAAGACCAATGAATTTTAGTAGCATTCACTGAATAAATAGCTGCTCGAAAACGCATCCCTGAGAGAATGATGAAGAGCGATGACAGTTCAACCATTGGCTAACAAAAAGTTTGCGGAAGGATCGTTATCAGGAACGATCACTAAAAGCAAGAGGGAAATAAAAAAGCATCAACTATGGGTAGCATCAGATGAATCTACCAATTGACCAGGAAGACGAGTAGTAAAAAGCCAGCTGTTAATGAGACTATTTCAGAAAAAAAAGAAGCTGTTATTCACTTTAGGTTTAGGAGATTAAAATGAGGATAAAGCACTTTAAAAACAGTTAAACTATCTCCAAACAATATGAATGCGAAATTAATACCTCCCTCCAAATCTTAATGATGTTGAAAATGCCATATCCAATATGAAACAAGTGAAAGTAGCAGAAACAGTTTGGTTAACTCTAGATGTCTGTAAATAAGGTGGTCGACTATTAACAGTTCAGTTGCCTGATATATAAGCTGCATCTTAAGAATTAGACATAATCCCATCTGAGTGGTCTCGTTTGGTGATCGTTGAAGTTCTTAAAAAAAGAACAGAACTCATCTTATTATAACGACAGAGTAATCGGTCTGATTAATATTATAACTAAAATATTAGTCTCAGATCCAGATGTGGATGTAGTGATCAAGTATTTACCCTTATTCAGGTTCCAGAACGTGGCCGTAATTTCCGAATACCGAATAAAGTTGCATTTCCTAACCTTAAGATGCCATATGACTGCGTTACCCGTAATCGCTGGTCATTTAGGGGCACGCTACTGAAGCACATAAACCTTGTGAAAGCTCTCTATTTGGACACTACTGCCCATGTCACAGCTTATGGAGAATATTCATGAGAATTAACCCCAAGCGGTGTTTGCACAGGGTTTCCCAGTATCCATCTTTCCACCAGCGGATATTCGTTGGCTACTAATATTTGATTACGGATGCCTTTTAAGCATTGCTCGTGTAACATGAAGGAAGTGGGGGAGAAATGCTACGGTTATGTATAGGGTAATAGGCAAAGATAATAAAATAATTGATGAATTCTTGAATTTTCATCAACTGAGGTGGTTAAAACGTGTTTTATGCATGCCTGAAAACCGTCCATCTCGATGGACAATGCTGTCTGGCGTACGAGTGGGCTGAAAGGAAGCTATTGATCACCAGAAAAAAACTTGACATCACACTGTGAACTCATCGTCATTTGAACTAAGTCGTGTGGAAAGATTCAGATCACCTGTTTGTAGTTTGCGCGATAAATGGTACCAGTAGTTGGAGACGTTGAGTGATACTGGTAGAAAATTGACCACAGTTTTACAGATTCATTGATTCTTTATCTACCCTTATATATTGACTTCCAGTGTTTTTTCATACATACCTTTCAGACATTCAGTCTTTTTCACAACAGTGACTACCAAAATATTTTCATTTAAATTCTGTTTACCTTGTTAACTTTTATCTCGTCACGTTAATATAATGTGACAACTCAGTTTAACTTTCGATCGCATTAAGCACACAACGTTCTTGAAACTGCGTATAAAAAAGAACTAACATTAACTTATTTTACAATGAATTACTGATGGTACAATTAAATAATCTTTCCAAAAACTAGTAAATAATGAGTATGAATTATTTAATCTTAAATTTACAAGTACTTCCAGACTCAATTTCAATATTGTTTATGATAACCAATAGGTCAAAACTTCAATGTTGACCAAAATTCATAAATTTAAACAAAACAACTTTTTTTCATTTGTTTACTATATCACAATAAGAAGAGCTATATTTTTGTAACAAAAACTTGAAGACAATCAGCAGGAAAACATGAATCTAATCTTCAATCTAGTTAACAAGTCATTAAGAAATCCAATATGTATATCCATCAAAGAATTGATTTTTCATTAAAATTCGGTATACTGAAGATGATATTCAGAAATAATTCCAAAAAGAAAAGATATTCAATAATTCAATCGTTTATTTTAAAACATAAAATTTATTCTGTTATGTATATTATTATTATATCTACATTTCTGAGTAAAAAAAGGAGAATGATTTCATCGTCAATGTTATTGTTAACTTCATCATAATGACCATTCATAAAATGGAAAATTATTGTGCTCCTTATTGCAGTAAACACAAATAAAGAATATCTAAAGAAAAGTCTTTTTTTCTCTTGTAAAAAAAGCTGTTTCTTATGTTTGCTCATTGAGAAAATAAAGAAGAATGGTAAGAGTATAAATGAATAAACAAACAAACAAGTAGAGATTTTCATTTGGGCGATTAAAAAAATGTAGAAAATAGTTCACGGATATGGGATAGAAAGTAAGTGAGTGAGTTAGTGAATGCGAAACTGTGAAGATAATGAATGTAACATAATTATTGAAAGTAGTCTAAGAATAATATTCTATAGAATCGGATAGATAAAATAATGACAGAAAAAATGGCGTGAATAAAATGGAATAGATAGGGACATGATACTGAAAAGTTCTAGTGGAATAAGAGAAAACAGAAAAAAATTAGGAACACAAAACTGTGCAATTCAATTATAACATGAAATGAATAGAGTGTGTTTGGTTTATCTTACTTTAGCAACTTAACATGAGACTGATGGTCATAATGAAAGTATTCAAAAAAAAAACAATACTGTCAATGAGTGAAGTTTGACTTTGTAGGAAAATTATTCTATGGGCTTTTTGGCACAATTAAAATCTTTCATATATATATATATATATAAATTAGAACCGAAAATAAGAGCTGATAGAGCAATGAATATATTTATGTACACCGGGGGGAAGGATCGGAGATAATCAAATAGACCAATGAATTACGTAAATAAATAATCTTCAGTAGAAGAGAATTATAATGGAAGTATGAAAAAATAGATTAGAATTTGAATAATTTAACTTGTAAAGTGTTACATATGCTATTTATCATTATTATTATCATCATTATTAGCATTAGTAGTAATAGTAGTAGTTGTAACAGAAAGAGAATTAGTACCGGCATTAGTATTGTTAATATTTCCATGAATAACTGAATTATTTATCAGTGAGCATAAAGTTGAAGAATCATTAACACAATCTATTATTGTAGAAGATGATGACGAATAGTAGTTGTCAATATAATCATTCTTATGCTCAATTATTTTATTTCGTCTATCATTTTCTTCTTTATCATGCAATTTATGCTCATCATCTGAATTACAAATATATGAAAATGTACAATTTGAAATATACGGGGAAATTATTGAATCTTTGATTTTATTTTTTGTGAATGTACATTGATTATTGGTATCTTTCTCGTTATCATTATTAAGAAAACTATTATTATTATTATTATTATTATTATTATTATTATTATTGTTCGATAAGGGAATATTATCAAAATTCTCACAACATTTCATTTGATGATGTACCGTTGAAGGTATACGATCAATACTGTTTATCCTATCTGTCTGATTACTATTAGTATTATTATTATTGTCTAATGAGTGATGATTTAATTCATCAGTATTATTATTTATGTTAGATGTGATCATTGTTTTATCATTATTTAACATTGACCATCCTAAATAATTTGTAACTGATATTCCATTTCTATTATTCAATGAAAGCCAATTTGATAATGAATTAGCTACAGGAAATCGTACTCCACATGTTAATGTTTCTGATAATGATAAATCCGTAGAATTATTATTATTATTATTCACTTGTAAATTCTCTTTTAATTTATTTTCATTCAATTGTGAGAATAATGAAATTGTTGATGAACTTGTTTCACAACTTGTTATGATAGTCGGTGTAGAAATTACTGGTACATTTGTAATGGATAAATTATTATGATCATTGTTTATTGTTGATAGAATATTACCAGTGCAAGATGTGATCGAATTATTATTATTATTATTATTACTATTGCCATTATTATTATTGTTTATAAATGAATTATTTGCTGATAAATTAGTTTTAAATAAAATACTACTATTTTCTAAGTCAGAATCAGTTGAATTCGATTGATGACTTGTTTCTGAATAGACTGAATGTTGTTGTGATTGTTGTGTTAGTAAATTCTCTGATGTTAAATGTTTTTGATGTTGTTGTAAATTATGTATAGATTGTGAATTAGTACTATTATTATTATTATTATCATTACATGGATATAAAAGATTTGTCTCAAGTGAATATAAATTATTATATAATTTTGGAGAGGAATTCATTTGTTGCCGTTGAAAATGTTGAGATTCTTGAGGTTGTTGGCTATCGGAATGATATTGATGTGATGATGGTAAGAAACAATATGATCCTTGACGTTGTTGTTGTTGTTGTTGAGTATGATAATAAGGATGTTTTATTAATCCAAAATTTTTTTGAGTTTCCATTAAAAAATCATTTGCATGAAATAAATTTTGAGTATATTCATTCAATGTATATTGTGATGATGAATGTTGTAAATGATCCATTTGTTCTTCATGTTGTTGGTGATGTAAATTAACATATGGATTACTATTACCAGTATGAATTACATTGTTATGTAATTCATAAGAGCGATTTAAATTCAATAGATCGGATTTCATCTTTACACTATCTATATTCATTTCATGTTGTGTTATAATATCTGTTGGAGAAGATGGTGCTAGTTGTGATAATGTTGATAAAGACTGTCCAAAATTTAATGATGAATACATACGTGAATTTGATAAAAATGGATCAATATTATGATTGGATGATAAATAAGATAGATTAGTATTTGTTTTCTTATAATTATTATTACGGTTATTTGTTATAGGGAGTTCATTATCCAATTGTCCCCACATAAATGTATCATTATGAAATTGTGAAATATTTTCAGAATGTTGTTGAACTGTTCCTTGAAATTCATTATAATTTAAATTATTTCGTTGGGATTTAAACTCTTTTTCAGTTGGACCACATACTACTGCTGCTAACTGTGACATAAAATCTTTTGAAGATGGTGATCGAATATTAATACTACTACTAGTTATATTAGTAGTTGTAGTTGTATTAACATGTGTAAAACTCTCTGAATCATATTCATTTCTAGTAGAATAATGACGTTTTCTTGAAGCTTTACGTAATAAAAAATCTGAAGTATGTATAGGACTATCTTGAGTTTTTTTTCTCAATTTATTCAGTGTACTAGTACAATTGTTATTGTGATTAGTAGTAGTACTATTACCAGTACAATTATTATTACGTAAACAATCAACATTATCTCGATTCATCATAGGATAAAAATAATTTGTAGGATTAACAGAATTATGAGACTCACGTGTTAGAACTTCTGTCATATTCATGTTATTAGTACGTGTGCATGTACGTGAATCATTTGTATTAAGTTGATTATTGTCACTATTATTATTATTATTATTATTATTATTGATTGTATCACTTGAGTTCGAGTGTGTATCATAGTCTGTTGGATTTAATGCATCATTCGGTGATAAATAATGTACACGTAAATGTTTACGTAATGAACTAGGATGTGTATAACTTTTATCACATCCTTTAAATCGACAAAAATATGGTTTATCATTCATATGTACATGCATATGCTTTTTTCTATCGGAACTATTAGCAAATCGACGATCACATCCTTCGAATTCACAAACAAATGGTTTTTCACCTGAATATAAACAATAATTAGAAAAAAAAAGCGAATGAATAATACAAATAGTTTATACGATAGAAAAATTGGTTTAAATAGGAATTTTAAGAATGAAGAGAAATATCAATTGTAGAAGTCAATAAGTTTGTTGAATATTATTAATTAGATGTTGACTATCGGCCAATTCAAACATAGTTTATTGTAATATAGTTGATTAGTATATAATAATTACTTTTTTATTTGTTTATTCTGTGGTATTTATATCCAGTAAACAGACAGTGTTGTAGAGTTAGTCGAATATGAAGCTAGTCACATAATAAATAGCTCCATGATATGGTCTGTGAAAACAAAATCAATTGATGTCGGCGTAGATCGTATTGGATAATATTATTTTATTCAAAACTGCAGATATATCTTGTTGATGATAGCCAATTAACATGAAACTGTAATCTAGAGATTCCTATCAATTGTCTTTAACTAATTAAAATGATTGATTATAGTTTGCCTAGTGAGTTTCTATATAGAATGACTAAATTGATTGATTCTATGATAAATAACGTATTCAAACTTAACTGAACTTTACTTTTCTAGTAATTATCGTTTTTCTTGCTTATTTATCTGGTGATTACATAACTTTTCTGTCTTTTATTTATCCATAATATTATCATTCTACTTTGTATGGAACAATTTTTATTGCTTTAATATGACAAGTTGCTATGTATCATAAATATATGGATTTTCATAATTTAAATCATAAATGGATCCCATTTGGAAAGTAGTTGAAAACATTGAAATATTGAAAAGTCGTTTCGTACGAGTATAAAACTCCGCACAAGTGCCCACATACAATCCCCAATTCAAAAATGAGAAATTCCTCAATCTCCACAAATCCCATCATTCTTATAGTAATCATATGTTTACTAGTGATCAACTTCAAGATCGAACTGATGGAGTACTACTGAGAAGCCGTGATCATTGAAATTCAATCATACTGTTTGTAAGACGGATACCTATCTCAGCTGATGAATCTAGGTAAATACAACTATCCGAATTTCACAATTTGATTATTGTTTAATGACCTTTAATTTTGTAGGTTAATATGACAGCTACGAACTGTGAGTTTGTCTATTGAATGATATTAACAGTAAACCTTAAGTCTATTATTTCTGAGTATTTATTTCTTATATCCAATAAAAAAAATCCACTACATTTTAATCAGATTTAATAGAAATTTTTTGATGAACCGATATGATCAGTTACATTCAACGATGTTGAAAGTACAAGAATGATCTTTGATATCATTTAATTATAATTGTGTTATTATCTCAAAATGATTAGGATTTTAAAAAAGTGAACTGGATCAATATTGTCAAGCATTTTATCACATTATTATCTCTATACTAAATAAGGATAAAAACAAGTCATGTACCTATTAGTTTTCTTTTCTTTTTTTTAGTAGTTTTTCATAGAATGTTAGTCAATGATTTGGAAAATTCAGAATACACCACAACAAGACATCATCATCATCATTATCTTTAGTGTCAAATTAGTCAATTTTTTTCAGATCATATTGTTTAGTATTGTAATTTAAACAGTAGAGTATTGTTTTCTACCTTATTTCATAATGAATTGTTTAATATGAATTATAAATAATACTGTTTCATAAAATGAAAAAAGAAGAAAACTAACAACCTTTTGTAGACTAAAAAAATTACTGAACATTTAAAGTGTGAAAATGAGAGTTCTATGAACATTTACTCCTACATCTAATTCCTAATTGAACTCATTCATATGTGTTTGTTTTTTTATTTGGAACTAATTGGAACGATTTGTTGATTCTTTTTTTCTCTCACTATAGACTTTTTTTATGAATTGATAATACTAATTTCAAGAAGTACCACTAATAGTATGGTGTGTGCTACTTATGTCGACATAAGTAGTATGTAGCTCTAGTCAGGGAGAGAATATTTGGCAGCAAAAAGGTTGGAAGGATTGAAGAGGGAAGAACAGGAACAGAAAGTAATTGATATGTAAGTGCAGGAACAATGAAGCCTGAGACAATTAATGAACATTTAGCAAATGAAATATTGGAATATGGTTTTTTTCTATTGTACCAAGTAACTCTGCAATTTTGTGCTAAATATAATCAGTTGTCCTCACCTGTGTTCTTCTTCACTACATTTGGTGTCGCTGCCAATGGTATTGAAATAATGTCTTACTACTTACTAATTAAACAGTGGCATGTGTATGTATGTGCATTATCTGTACTTTTTTCCATAGATTTAATTTCAACTAAGTTTTAACACTATTTGAAAATGAATATGACTTATTGTTTTTGATTGAGATCATGAACCGATTGTTGTTAGACCACCACTGGAAACCTGGAAGCACTGAACAGCCGTTTCGTCCCACTGTGGGACTCCTCAGCAGTGCGCATCTCCAATCCCGCTCGGGGAATTTGAATTCAGGGCCTTCGGTCTAGTGCGCGAACGTTTAACCTCTAGACCACTGAGCCAGTATCCAACGGTGTTAATGTACATCTTCAAACAATCTACAAAATTGCTCGACCATCTTCCATCGTCTGAGGTAGATACTTATCTCTATCTGACTTGGATTAGCTCCACTGATCACAGCTTCTCACTAGAACTCCGAGAATTCCCTCACGAAGCTAGCCACTAGTGAGCACATGGTAATTATCATGATCTCAATCAAAAACTTAATAATCTCCACAACCCTATACTGATGAATATAATTTAGCTTTCTTTTAAACAATAAATTATAAAACAATATGCAAGAAAATATTACTTTTTGTTACGATTTATTATTGTTTAATTTTAAATATTAAAATTCAGTTTATTGTGTAAGGAACAAAGTACCCAGTTGACAGTTCTTATAAAATTGGTAAGTATAGTAGTTTATGATTGAGATATTAGTACTAATCTCGTAATTTTTCTAAAATAAAACGCCAAATTATTTAGTTCATTTAAATATACTGATTAGAATAAATAGTTTGTAAGGATATTGTAGTAATTTTGAAGGCATACTTTGTTACAAATTAATATCATTTAGAGAAACAAACTCCCAGCTGAGGAGAAAATTAAGAAAACACGATGGAGGTGAATAGGACATACATTAAGGAAATTACTAAACTGCATCAAGGGAAAAGTGCTAACTTGAAATCTTGCAAGGAGACAGAAAAGAGGAAGACTGAATAGCACGTTCCGTCGGGAAATAGAAGCAAACATCAAAAGGATGAATAACAACTAGAAAGAACTGGGAAGAATTGTCCAGGACAGAGTTGGATAGAGAATGCTGGTGAGCGGTCTATGCTGCTCCATGAGTGTTAACAGGCGTATGTAAGTAACCACTGTAATAAGACATAAGGCGTCAATGAACATCTAAAAACATCTAAATTTATGAATAAACACAGAATTCCTCAAAATTAAGGTAATAATTGATAACTCAACTTTGTAGTCAATAAATTATTGAACGGTACATTAATGAACTATTTATTCTAAATGTTTAAATTTTAGGAATCAGACTTTTTGTAAGTTAGCTGTTCATCAGTTCACTTTTTTCACTTTTTCGACAACTGACGACTAGTAGCTCAGTGGATGAAGCGCTGGACATCCGAAATGAAACAAACTATGTCCAAGTCTCATCGAGAACACCAACGCTGGAATGCAGGTACATTCAGATGGTGAATTCTAAATATGATGAATCCCACAACGAGGATTCCTCTGGTAGTCATAATCCATCCATAACAAAGAAAATGTGACAAAATTACTATGCTGAAGTAATCCTAACAGGGTGCATATATCCCGATAAAGACTGATTATAATCAAAGGGGACCTTTAATACAAGGTGACGACGTAAATGTATTCAGAAGTTTAGTTCGATTTAACCTCATCATTTTCATTGTAATAAATTTAGAAAAATATTATCTGCTAGTATTTTAAATTGATTATTATCAATAGTTGAGACCATGAGTCAATTAGAGCTAGACCACCATGGAACACCTGAAAGCACTGGAGTCCCACGATAGGACGAAACTGCCGTCCAGTGCTTTCAGATTTTGCACCGTGGTCTAAATTCAATTGATATCAACTATTGAGATTACAATAATATCCAAAAAACCCCTTCTGATAATTATCAATAAAACTATAGTCTACAATGCATCAGAATTGAACAATAATCCTCTTTTTAAATATAGGAGATTTGTAGAGACTCTATAATTTTCATAGTTTAAATTATGAACTAATTTCAGTTAGAAAGTAGTTGAAAACATTGAAATATTGAAAAGTCGTTTCGTACGAGTATAAAACTCCGCACAAGTGCCCACACACAATCTCCAATTCAGAAATGAGAAATTCCTCAATCTCCACGAATCCCATCATGCTTATAGTAATCACATGTTTACTGGTGATCGGCTTCGAGATCCAACTCATGGAGTACTACTGAGAAGCCGTAGTCATCGGAGTTTTATCATGTTAGATGTGAGACAGATACCCACCTCAAACGTTAGATAAGGGTTGGGAGGATGTCGTGAATCGACTGAAGTTAGGCATGTATAGACTCGGGTTCTGGTTCAGTGGTTTAGATTCTAAGTATTGGCATGTGAGACAATAAGTTCTGGGTTCCATCCCCTATGTGAGGGTCTTGGATTCGCGCTACTGAGGAGTCCTGTTATAGCACGAAATGGCTATCCAGTGCTTTTGGGTTTTCAATGTTATTCTGAGGTCATTTTGCGATTCAAATAGTGGGAATTTTTATTTTATTCATTCTAATAATTTATAGGTTATTATTTAACCTTCACTCCTTTGAAGTTTTGGCAACATACTACTCCGCAAATTTAACGTTAGTTATATAACTTGGATGCCTAAAAAGTTTGTTATTAAATAGATAAATATTTTTCGTTCTATTTTAAACAACATTAAACTAGCGATAGGTGAAATAATACTGGAGACAGAGAAACAATACACAAATGAGTTGCATATATAGGTTGACACTTCTTAGTA